GGGGGGGGGGGGGGATGCAAAGCGGCCTGGCAGCTGGCCATGCCCCCTCGTAATGGAATGGTCAGAGGAATGGCCGCATAAAGCCCCTTTCAGGAAAAGCAGTGAGAAAAACATTATTTGGGACAGATGGTGGCAGAACCCAGCTGGCCGAGGGAGCAGGGCACAACCGCCGCCTGGAGTCCGGGCGCTCCATCGCTGGAGTCTTCAAGGAAAGGCTGGACGGCCCAGGAGGATTCCTGCCCAGGGCACGGGTTGGGCTGGAGGGCCTCGAAAGATCCCATCCAAGCCTAGGATGCTGTGATTCCTTCCTGATTGAAATCAACCCCCCGGGAGGCAGCATAAGACGAGCGCTTTCCTCTTTTTTAAACAGTTTGAGCACCCTTGCAACAAAGCATGCGACTCGAGGGCTTACGGAGGGATACGAGAGGGAAAACACCACTTGAAAACTGGCAAGAAACAATTTTAAGCTGCAGAGACAGGTGGAAAAAAGTGACCAGTGGAGCATGTTTCTGCTGCAGTTAGAGGAATGTGAGGGTGAGATCATAGCTTTTCACAGCCCACGGAGCGGCTGTGTTAGTGTCTCTTGAATTTTTCATGGGTGTCTGGCAGTTCATAGCAATGGTGCATCATGCACGAACAAAATCTTCCCATCCAGAAAGGGAGCTGACTGTTCCAAGCCCAGGAGGAGGAAGTTCTCATGTGCACGTTCTGCTGAAACGATGGAAGCCAGCACTGGATTCCTTGATAGGCACATCTGTCGTTTCAGCTGTGGAACCAGCAGGACCTCGGGCTTTGCTTCTGCGAGGGGCTCAGCCGTTCGCGGACTGGGGTGGGAAGTGGATCCTGGCAGCAGGAAGACTGCCCAGCTGCTCCCCTGTGTAGAGCGAGGCTCCTGGTGGGGGCAGGTCCTTTGGCTGGCCAGAAGGGTGTGCCCTTGGCTAAAGCCAAGCCACGGCGGGGGTCTTCGGTCTGGGATGCAGGGGGGCTTCTGCGGCAGGCTCGTCGGAATCACCTTAGGAAATGAAGAGAGAAGCGCTCCGTGAGACTAGGGCAAACGGATCGGGCAAGAGAGTGAGAGGAAATCCAATTCCTGTGGGGCTCAGAAGCAAAAGCACGGATCCTTTGCAGTATTTATTTATTTATTTTATTTATATATCAAATTTGTCACTGCCCATCTCGTTGAAAAACAACTCTGGGCAGCTTACAGAGAAGCTAAAATCAATAAAAAATACAATATAAAATGGTCCTGAATAAATAATAAATACATTCGAAGAATTGATATTCCTTGGCAAGTAGCTCAGAGAGCGTCATCAGGCGCCAGCCACCCCCAGGATTGGTCAGGATTCTTGCTGCCCCACGCACACTGGCAGAGCAGTCTTTAGTCCTTTCCGGAAAGCCGGGAGGGTACCATTGGGGGTGCTAGGCCAACGGGAGACGTGCTTTGCTTCAAGCTCAGGAAACTCATAACGGACCATCTGAAGCTGAAGCAACTCATTTGGATGGAAGTGGACTGCTCTGAGACCGTTTGACCGGAATATCAAAATGACATCGCTTGAAACAGTCGAAGCTTGTTTAGGAATTAGAGCAAATGAGCCTGTTTTTTTCCCTCCAACCTTAACGTGTGTGTTGTTTTGGGTGCAGCATGCTCACAAAGGCTGTTTTGAATTTGAAATATTTTGCGTACCACCTGCAGGAGTCTGTACAGTAGGTCAAAAAGTCAGGACTGCAGCCGCAACCGTGGGATTCAGAGCCCCCCCTTTTTTGCCTACGTTGCACATAAAAAGGTGATGCTTCTTGCACCCCCCAGCCCCTAGGAAATACTCTCGCCCTGAATTTTCAGCAATGAGCAGGGAGGTATGCAGAATACTTGGAAGCCACCACCCAGCTCAGTCACAGTCTACGGTGCATAGGTTAACCCATGGATCTGCGTCCTGGGACACTGGGAGATTGGACAACTGTCTTCTGCAGGAAGAAGAGGCCTCAGATTGAGGTGCGTGTAGCAAAAGTAATCCAATCCATGCGGGTAGTCCAGCAAATCGGTTCCTACCTGATAGATCTTTGCTGATTTCCATGGAGTCTGACCCGCTGGGATGGTGGTTCCTTAGGAGCGTGTTGCTGAAGCTGCGTGGTCTCCCTCCCTCGCCCTGGGGCCATAAGCCAGGAGCCTCTGGTCTGCAGCTGGGGCAGATGGCTCTGGCAGGGCCGGCGTCTGGGCTGGGCGGTCGACTATCTGCCGCCGCCTCTGCAAGAGCAACTCCAGCTGGTTGTCCACCTGGAGCTTCTTCTGGCTGCCCTTGCGTCGGCTGGATCGGCAGCCTGGCCTCCTTGTGGCACTCTGGGGATGAGAACATCAGGGCGGGATGGATGGAGCCACAGAGCATCCATCCGCCCCAGAGATACGTCAGAGGAGCACCCAAACGTCTTGTGTGAGCAGACCAAGCTGTCTGCTCCTGCAGGCGCAGGAGAGCCCACGGCCTGCTCAGTGGACACAGTCCCACAAACAGGTTCCAGACACATCATTTCAACGTGTGGCTCCTGCAGAGCGGGTTCTAGTTTTCAGGTAATTAAAGATGGATTCACACAAGGAGCTGGGGCGGTGAGCAAGGATGCTGAGTTTTCACAACTATCCCCACCAGGGGTGTCCCTGGGGTATGGTGAAAAAAGTCAAAGGGGCAGTTGCGATGGGGCGCTCGACGTTCCACCTGTTCCTTGTGCATCGCACCTTCTGACCATTCCCCACAGACACCCTGACCAGCCAAAAGGCAGAGTTTGTGATGCAGCACAACTCACCGTGTACCCCAGCAAGATCCGATGCTTTGGTCAAGATAACAAAACGAGCATCCCACCTTTGCAGCCAAGCTCCTCCCCTTTCGTAAATAAGTGCAATGTCACAGTGTGTGTACAAAACCAAGGTTTGTTTTGTCATTGGATGGCCTTGCTACAGAGGAACGGCTGAGAACGATGGTGAATTGCTCCGTGTGGAAGAATTTAAGCAGAGTCCACCGTTTGCCCACACGCCTACTTTTTCCAGTAACCCCTCAGTTCCAATAGTTAGTGTTTTTCAACCTTGGCAACTTTACCATGTGTGGACTTGGTATGGGGAACTCTGGGAGTTGAAGTCCACACATGGTAAAGTTGCCAAGGTTGAAAAACATGGAGTTAGAGAGTGCTGGCAAAGCTTCATGACATCATTAGCCCTTGGCCAATCAGGCAGCAGTAGGTGTGGCTTGGCTCTCATGGCCAATCAGCGCTGGGAGCAGCAACCAATGCCGCTATAATGGAGAGGCAGTGTTTTGGCCACTCTTTTCCTGGGGGTGCACGCTGGTGGACGGACGGGTGGGCTTTTGGATTCTCCTAACATATTTTGGGGGACACCCTGCAGCCTGGTAGGATTACCTGACCGAGTCAGTTAACCTCTTGCGAAGTCCCGTGATGCCTCAATCCCCCGTTGACCCAAGGGAACGTGTCATGGAACTGTGCCGATGTCACATATGAGCTATTGCCCTCAAGGTCCCGTAGGCTTGCACACGCACACGTACATAAAGGGGAGTCTTACCAGGAGGCCCTGCAGTTCCATTGCGGTGCTCCTGCGCTTGCTCGCCGCAGCAGACGACGGCTAAGAAGATACAGGTGGAAAATCCCATTAGCTGGTGCTTTGCTCCCGTCTGCTCAGACGCTGTTTTGAACAGGAACAGGCACCCATGGAAACTCCCCTGGGGACTTCACCCTGCAGCAGGACTGGTCTGTTGCACAATCCATGGTTGAAACTTGGCTTTGAGTGCAACCAGCTCACAGTGACTCAGCCATGCGTGCTGAAGAGGGCTTGGAATACTTGTCCATCCCAGGTGGGATTTTGTGGGACTAGCGTCTGCTTCATCCCCAGGCCTTTCCTCTCCAGCCCTCCCCTCCCCTCCCGTGGCTTCGCTTACCTGGGACAAGGACCCGGCCTCCCTTCTCACTGGCCGCAGCACCACTCCGCTCTTGATCCGCACCATCATTTCCTCCACGGCTCTGGCTGTGGCATCGTCAGAACAGAGGTCCCCTGTCCATAAGAAAAGGGACCAAGAGCCTTTGAAAGAGCCTGCTCGGCCCTGGGAGCGCTCGGGGGCTTTGCCGTCAGCCGTGCAATTTACTAGTAAACTGGCATTTCCTGATATATTACAATGATGACGAGGCCACGATGCATTTTGCACATTTTGTAGTTTATGTTCCATCCAGGACAGAGCCCAAAACAGATCAATGCCAGCATTCTGACGTTATTTATTCTGTGATCTATACTTCAGATATGAAATATGGAGCAATCCAGGGAAAGAACTTTTTTGAAAACGCCCCAGAAAGTGGAATCGGCAGCCTGTGAATTCTGCAAAGGGCAGCCAAATGGCTGATCAGGAAGAGTCCCGCCCCTGCAATGAGCCTTCAGTGGCATACTGCCTCTGAACATGGAGGCTCCATAGTTCTATAATATTCATTCATTCATTCATTCATTCATTCATTCATTCATTCATTCATTCATTCATTCATTCATTCATTCATTCATTCATTCATTCATTCATTCATTCATTCATTCATTCATTCATTCATTCATTCATTCATTCATTCATTCATTCATTCATTCATTCATTCATTCATTCATTCATTCATTCATTCATTCATTCATTCATTCATTCATTCATTCATTCATTCATTCATTCATTCTAACTTCAAAACCGGATGGTCGTGAATAGTCACTGATCAAACTCTCCGTTAATGACCCTGCCCTGCCTTTGCGATCCTCGGAGGCAGCTTCCCCCAACGTGACTCCCTCCTGATGTGCTGGGATGCAATTCCACCTGGTCTGGGTGCTGGTCATCTGGCTGGGGATGATGGGAATTCTATCCTGATTCATCCAGCCCCAGGTGGTGAGGCTGGTGGCAGCGCTGATAGGGCTTCCCCCGTTCCACCCCTTTTCCGGCTACAAACATGGGGTGCGAAAGGGGCTTCTGTTGATCTGTCCCGAATTACGCCAATCAGGGGTGAATCCTTTGGTCACTGTGGAACTCCGGCTACCCCGTGGCCAGCTGCTGGGGGCGAAGGGTATTGTAGCCCAACCACATCTGGAGGGCCACATCCTTTCCCAGCTGAGTTGAGTGACTTACAGGGGTCTCACAGGGAAAGGGGTCCAGAAAGTCAAGTTGGTGGCCGTGGCCGTGCAATCAAGGCCCTGCCCCTTTTTAATGCGTGTCGTGTGGTTGTGGCCGCCATCTTGACTTTTTGGACAGCCCCAGTGGCTCAGTTTCTGAGGTGGTGAGAGCAGGAGAAGACTCTGTGGGGGGAAACCTTCTGGAACAGGCCCACCCTGCCCGGTTCCCCTCTGGGCCTTGGGCCTGCTGCAAGAGGTCCTGCCGCCCCCACGTCCACTTACCCTTTTTCGGACGCTGCGTGCCCTTCCTCTCTCGGAGGGCCATCAGAGGGCTGCAACGGCAGGGAAAGGAGGGAAGTCAAGCTTTCTCCGTGTCCCCCCAGCTGGGCTCCTACCTCCCTGTCCGGCAGCCTCTTCCCCTCCCATCACTTCCAAACGGCTTTGCCAAGCTCTCCTTGCGATCTGTGCCCTGGGGTGGCAGCCCCTGGGTGCATCTGGCTGCTCTCAAAAAGTGAACTACTTGTAGGAGCAGATGGGAGACCACCAGGAAACCCTCTCTGCAGGCTAGGCTGGGGACCTGCCATAAGAAAGTAAAACCAGACTGCCAAGAAGCAACACGGATGTCTCCCGGCTGTCACTGGGCACCCAGGCCAATGTTACTCCTTGTAACCCGGGAAGGTGGACTGGCAGAAGCTGTCAAGTTGGGGGGGGAGCTTTCCCCTCACCCAGTGACTTTTTTTCTAAAATGGCGATGCCAGAGCTTGGCATTCCTCTTTCAGGACCACCCAGGGCAGCTCTTGGGTCCACTGCTTCTGATTCGAGGGACTGGGAAGCCGAGCCCCCTGCATGTGAAAACGATGTTCAGAGAGGAAGCCTCCAGTCCTCCCTCCCCTTGGCGTGCTGAGTCTCCCAGGGCAGGGAGCTTCCCATCCGAAGTGGTACCGCCCAGCCAGGGCGCCCCCCCCACCTATCAGACTAAACGCCCAGCAACACCTCCACCCAAACCTCTGAAGACCCCGACCTTGCCGGGGGGGAGTCAGTCATTCTGGGATCTTAAAGACAAGCGTTCTACGGTACAGCGTCACCGAAGTCGCCACCTTGCAGATGTGTTGGACGACCACTCTGTAGTGCCCAGCTGGCGTGGCTGGGCCGAAGGGAGACAGCAGCCAACCCCACATTGTAGGGTTGGGGTCAGACACTTACTCCATCTTTGCAGGCGAGGTAGGAGGCGGCAGAGGGGGTGG